TATATTATCAGTTATTATTTTTTAGAATGACTAAAAATATATATTTATGTGCCCTAATCAGTCAATATAATTTATCTTCTGTCAAGATTCCAAAATCACCTACTAGACTAACTCAATTTTGTAAGAAGACAGACGAGGTTCAGAAAGTAATGTTAAATGAATAAAAACTCGATTGACCATTTGATATGATTGCTGTGTTGTTTACACGATTAAACTTGCACAAATATTGCTACATTCTAAACATTTATTAATTCTTTTTACAAAAAAAAAAATATTGAACAACAATTTTATCTTTTTCAAACATGCAAATGACATCAGGTAGCCATTTTTAAGCATTCAGTTTAAAATATATTCACATTTTATTATATATTTAAATATTAGCTCATTCGCCAAAACTTCAGGATGAAGCGTCCTGAAATTTATATCTCAAAGTTGAAACTTCAGGACATCAAGTCCCAAAGTTCAAAAACTGTATTCAGAAATTTGAATCTTATATCCTGAATTTTAAATTGACAGTTTAGAATTTAGGATACTTAGTTCTTAATTTTAAATTAGCAGTTCAAAAATTCAGAATTTACTAATTTTTAAATACGTTGTAAATTATGAATATCTTTTAAATATAAGGCGACTACTAGTGTACTTCGCCCTTTTCAGACCTGTGAGATCGACGTGCTGATTTCGCCCAATTGGGCCTTAGTTATAAACTAATGAGGAGCGTCTGCAGTAACCGCGCCTTACTCAGACTTTAAACCTGTTCCCGCTTTTGATCAACATTTGAACTTCAAAACGAAAAGAAAAATACTTTTACTGACACTAAAATTCCAAATCCAAATCCAAATAAATATTAACAACAAAGGACTGCGAAAATTTGATTGAACTCTATTTGCTAACAATTATGGATCTTCATCCCACACCATTTCCAGGTAACTACCCACGTTCTTGTTCAAATTTCACTACCCCATTTATTTTTCTTGGTTTATTCTTAATATGTTTGTCTGATATAGTAATACATATTTACAGGTAAAGTTCTACCCGTGAAATCAAGATTTAACAAAAACATCTCCAGAGCACCGAAAACCCAATCCAAGGAACCATCCATTCCCAGGTAATTTAAAAAAAACTGAAACTTTTTTCAGTTTCTATAACATATTTGCTACATGTTCAACCGAACTCAATATCAAATTTCTATATAAGTATTATAAAATTTCAACAAATATTAAATTTCGAACTCATAATATCAAATGTTTAATAGGTTCAATCGGAAGACTTTAAAGGTTGAACGCAACAAATATAAATATCTATTTTTGCAGGCAAAACAGAGTTTTTGGTACAGTTAGAAACCCAAATGTACCAACAAAGACAGTATCAAAAAAGCCCGTGGCAAAAGCTTCATCTGGGGTTTCTCAAAAACCATGCAAATCATCAAAAAAGACTCAATCTTTAACTGATTCTGCTACAAATCCAGTGATTGAAACTGCCAAGAAATCTACTGAAGAAAACATAGTAAGACAAAGAAAGAAAAGTGTGTGTTTCCAAGAAAACAGAGATGCTGTTGAGCCTCAAACTCCAGTGAAAAAATCGCCTAATTTGGTGAAGCCTAGACTTTCTGGTAGCACCCCTTTTTACAGTGCTGTAAATTGCAGTAAATGCAGATTTGATAGGCTGGAGACTTCATCTTATTGGCTTTCTCAGATTAAATTGGCTGAAACCGTTGGAAAACACTTTGTTTCTGCTGCTTTCTTTCGACTCGCTCTTGAATCCAAAGCTGAGGTTCATTTCTCTCTCTTTATTCTTTGAAAATTATCATACGTAGTAAGTATTGCTTCATAGGGTTTTCATCAATTAGTAAAAAGCAGTTTTGAAGTAGTTACACATATTGTTCGAGGAGTTTAATTTCTATGTATTGATTGCGTAAAAAAAGGTTTTGCAGTGTCAACAATATTTATCATTCTTAGTAGGCGCTTTGACATAAAAATTGCTAACTTTTGAAAAAAGAAAATAGGTATTTAGAGTTACGTTGAAAAATAGTATTTGGAATTTGAAATTATGTTTGTATATGCATTTCACAGGAAAAAATATTGCAGGTTTATTAGCGGGGAAACACTTTTCTCCGAAAAATTTGAAAAAGTGACATTTTGAAAAACTCATTTTCGAAAAATCTCCAAAAACTTACAAAAGTTTTCATGGACAATGATGTTTTTGAAAAAAAAAAAAAATTTATGAACAAATGGGTCCTTAGTAAGTAGAATTAGTTAAATGAAAAATAAGGCGGGTTACCTGCTACAATAAGTTGAAATTTCTCTAATTACAGTGTCACTATATATAAGTTAAATCTTGGTCTGAGTTACATGTATATTTTGAATAATGTCAATAATAAAAGAATGTAAACTTCTTAGGAGCATGTACTAACTTGAATTTGATTTTTTATTTTGTTAGCCCTTTAGGAATATTATGTTGGAATTGAAAAGGTATTTGAGACGACACAAGCACTTATCAGAGGGAAAAGAATGGAAAGAAGTTTGTTTTAGCTATGGAATACTGAAGGATGAGGGCAGTTCTGAGGATAATATTGGAAATATTAACAAGAACAAAAGCAATGAATTGGAATGCACCATTGAAAAAGAAGAAGAAGAAGAATCAAAGGACTTAAACCAGGAAGTGACTGAAGATGGTGTTACTCAACTAGGAAATGAACTTCCATTTCCATTATAATTTATAGCATCGATTATTATTGACTAAAGTTATATATATAGTCTTTGTTTTACATATATTTTAGTTGGTTTGTGGAATATTGGAGTATTTACTTTGAACTGTTTCTTGGAGATGTTTTATGGAATTCCAGTATGTCGTGACTAGGGAATGTAACTAATAAAAAGTCTTGGTTGTTCGAGTTATTCAGTATGAATGATTAATCTATTGTACTTCTTATCTTGTAAAATGGTGTAAAACACCCCCAAATCCCAATTATGTTTAGGGGAAAAGGTTGGACTTACTCCTATACTATAGTAAATAGTCTACGTTTTGAAAGTATAAGTGGAATAAATATTTATTTATCATATATTTTATTAAAGGGCGAAAGGGGGCGAAAACAAAAAGAAGAAAGGTGCATTCCGAGAATTGAACTCGAGACCTCTCACACCTTAAGCGAGAATCATACCACTAGACCAAATGCCTTTCTTTGCCTCGCTGATTTAAGAGAATATCTAGCTCTCTTGATTTCAAACTAAATGTAATAGTTATCTGAGTTCTTGAAAATGATAACCAAAGTATTCTTGGGCCTAAGATACAATCCATTCACTCGGGAGAATTTGGGCCAGCTAAGATCAGAAGGCATACAATACTCGTAAAATTTATACTTGTAATTTTGTATTACTGATAAAAGTACTCTTATATAACGGATTTTAAGATTAATCTAAGATTTTATTTTAATACTTAAAAGTGCGTGCAGAATTACACTGTATCCACTACTCTTATTTTGACAAGTCGTTAGGTACTGGATTTATTCGAACCCAATATTTTTGATGCTCATAAACTTATAATTTATAAAGTACAATAAGTTCATTGTTAACAACTTTAAAAGTCAAATACGTCAGCTTAAATTATTAATATACTTGTGTCACCCGTACCTCTAGATTGCAAGCGCTGGGGTCACTTTCATGCGCTTGATTTTTCACATTGTCCTACCGCACACACCCCTCCCACGTCCCAAAGTCGGATTCAAAATCTAAATTTTGTGGATTCAATATTTAAGGTTCTCAGCATTAAAACTATTATAATTTTAAAGTTATGAGTTCATATCTATTAGTATTTCTTATAATTTTAATAAATTTATGCTCTATCTCGAAAGTTATGGATTCAATTGAACACGTAGCTATAGTGCTACATCCGTCACTGCTCCGACATGTAACTATAATGCTACATCCGCCACTGCCCCGCCCCCACCCCCCACTGCCGGGTATGGGGGATTACATTATATGGTCTGTGGCAGTAGTGTAAACACCCATCTAATAAGTCCAGCCCATTGAGAGAATAAATTGCAATAAATTCTGAAGTGAAAGATGAAGAAAGGTACCATTCGACAGTGCAGAAAATAACAAGTAACAAGTAGTAGTCAGAATATGACATTATTGACGATCTGTCGAACAGTCGTCAAACAGCGAAATGTTTGATACAATAAAAGACTTGCGGATTAAATGTTGACGTGAAATATCAAAGGCCTCAAGTCATTCCTGGCCCATATGTACTATTAAAGATAAGGCCCACTCTTTTGATTGACAAATCAAAGGCCCAAATATGACAAATGGAATCAGAACCATTCCCCATGGTCTCACAAGGCATGTCGGCCCATATTGCGATTGTGGTAAGTAAACCACAAAAACAAAAAACAAAATTAAAACATTGGAGAATAAATAAGGACCCGTTTGTCCATAGATTTTAGTTTTTATATTAATAATAATAAACAGAAAAATCACAAAGGAAGAGTACAAGTAAGGGGGACAAAAGCTACAGTATTTTTGTCGCTATGCCTTTGCTATATAATCATCCATCTGCACCAACAATGCCCTTTGACGCAGCCTCAATAGGTTGTTGGTGTAGTCTCACGAGGGCGAATGATCTCATAGATGTATGGATATTTTTCAAAGGCGTAGGCCATGAGCAAGCACATATTGCGCTAAACCTTACCTCACAATTTCCTACTGAGGCATTAATAACCTCACCTACTAACCAGAATGTAAAAAATATGAAGTAGAACGAACTAAGTACTGTATGATCATCATAGAGTTTATAACATACTCTATGATGATATTACATATGATCATCATAGAGTTTATAACATACTCTATTCTTTCCGAATTTTTAAAAATATGTTTGTCCACGAAATTTTTTAAGATTTTAGAAAATAAGTTTTTCAAAATCCGAAAAGTGATTTTTTTTTTTTTCAAGTGTTCAAGAATATTTGTTTTCAATTCACAAAACTGCAATATTTTTTCAAGTGAAATTCATGTCCAAATATAATTTCATACTACAAACACCAGTTTTCAACTTAATTCCAAATACTTTTTTTAAATCATAATTAATATACTATAATAACTGGGTTCACAATAATATTTATAAATATTTAATAAACTTTTTAATACATATACAGGTTCTGGGAAAAAACTATTGGATTCATGTGGACTCGTAACTTACCTGGCAGATCCGCCCTAGCCCCCTACCCCTACAGGCTACAAACGCAACTTGTCTGTCATGAAGTATTTTTTATAATACTTACTTCAACATATTTTAAATTTTATAAAGAAAAAATTTAAGTATAATTTTGATCCGATCTAATGGAGTAGTCATTTATTTCATTTTATCCTATTATATTTATTTTATGTACACAGTCGGATAATGTTTCAAAAAAGTTTGAACCTATAAAAAGTTGCTCTTTAATGAAATATACAATTTTCTGATAATTTATTAAGTAATTACCTGTCCAAATATAGAAGTTCATAATCCAAACTGAATAGGTCTTATTATCTACGTTCACGTAAAAGTATGAGGATCCATTTGCTGCTAGAGTTCAATCATATCGTGTGAAAATTTCACAAGTTGCTTTAGGTTTGGATTTTACCAAAGCAAAAAATAAAAATAAATAAATAAATAGAATCTGTGAAGTATAGTTTTCATTCTTCTTTTCCTTCTATAACATGATTTACTCATGAGTTATGAGTTATGACTTAATTATGAGATCCTTCAATCATGTCTTGTATTATTCATTCAAGAGTTAACAGAAGAGCACCAGAAAGAAATAAATTATAACTCTGCGCAAATTGAACAAAGTGATTTTGAAAAAATTCTTAAGTACTTTTTTTGTGTCAATTACTTACCATTGCATCATTAACTAAAATTCAACTCATGCTTTCGAATTCAGATAGCATAGTGGGTCCGAATTAATAGAGTTTAAGATATTGACGGGTTAAAACTTTGTCAATTATTTGTTAACTCGCTGATCGAATAAGAGAGATTCTTGCGTTTTTTCTTCTCTCTGACGCTCGAACAAATCAAGAAATGACATGACGCTCGAACAAATCAAGAAATGATATGAATGACAAGGGATTGATCACCCTAAAGTCCAATCGATTGAAGTATATGCTACAACTACTACCTTTTGATGTAGATCATAGTTGCCAAAATGTCTGGTTTTGGAGGACCTTTTTTGCAATTATTTTTAAAACAAATTCCACAGTAATATATTATTTGATTGTTGAGACATTGTGTGAGTTGTTTAGGAGCATAAGCCAAACAACATTAATCTGTGTAGGTCTTTGCAGGTACCAAACAAGGGAGCAAAATGCCCTCCCACCATAGCTATTTGATGGGAAAATGTCTTTAATTTCTAGCAATTTCAAAAACACCCGACACTATCTCATTTTATCTTTTTTTTCTTGGTTTTTTTTATTAAAAATAAATCATGGGGCTCCATGTTTGATATCTTAATTATACTTTTTGGGAGAAAAAAAGAAGAGGGATTGTGTTGAATTGAACCATATCGAAATATTCAGTTGTTGACGGACAAAGCTAAAACGTGAGTTACTACAAAGCTTAAATCACCTTAGAAATTTAGGTTTACGAGAAATTGATCATTCTCCATTTTCATACTCTATATGTAAGAAAAGATGAGTCTCAAATTTTATGCTAGTGAATACAAAGTGTCATTATAAATCTGTTAATTATAGGTTAAAAACAAATACGTAAATGAGAATTCCATCGTTCTTATTTTTCATTCTCTATATACAATAAAGGACGAGTCTGAAATTTTAAGTTAGTGAGTACAAAAGTATCATTAAAAATATTTGTTATTCTATTGTGGTAATGGATATAAACTTAACACAATATGTATTTTTCAAATAGTATGTCTAATTCTTTCTTTTTACGATTGTTTGGCGATATTGTTCTCTATTTTAGTTGATAAGATCTCTAGTCTTGCTTGTTATTAAACCTTACCTCTAAAATAACCCCCTAGATTTCATTAAATGAAACAAACTACCTATAGACTCTATTTGTGAAACCTAATATTGACAGAAAATAAAAGGATAGAAGAAAAAACAAAAACACCAGCTAATTAAGGAGCCCAGTTGCCCCCTTGTAATCATGGAGAGGGCAGCATGCCTCACCTAAATGGACCTACTTGCTGTTTACAAACTATTTAAGGCCAGATTTGCGTAAAAAACTCCTTTTATTGTTTTACAGAAATATTAATTTTCTTAGTTATTGTTATAAAATAATAAAAGAAGAAGAAAGTATTGCAGAGAAAAGTAGAGAGAGGATTCTTATTTATTTGGGATGAATTACAATGGAATATAACACCTCTATTTATAGGGAAAAAGTGGCTTAGCCACCAAGTAACAAACCCTAAAATCTCTCTAAAATATAGACATTCACCTTAAATATAATTTTATTTATAACACTCCCCCTTGAATGTCTATTCAACAGATAATGTGCCTCGTTAAAACCTTAACAAAAATAAAACCCAGTGGAAAAAAATTCTAGTTAAGGAAAAAGAGTACACATATCTAACAATACGCTTTTTGGTTGCCTCATTAAAAAACTTCCAATGAAAACCCAGTGGGACAAAACTTTATAAGGAAAAAAGAGTACAATGCGTATTAACTCTCCCTGATGAGACAATCAATTTACATATTTGAGCCTTCGCATTCCAATCTTGTGCACCATCTTCAAAAGATTGTTGGTAGAGATTTGATAAACAAATCAGTCATATTATCACTTGAACGAATCTATTGCACAATGATATCACTATTCTTTTGAAGATCATGTGTAAAAAATAACTTTGGTGAAATGTGTTTTGTCATATCTCCTTTTATGAATCCTCTCTTCAATTGGGTTATGCATG